GCCTGCATGATGGACAACGAGCTTTTAGCCATTCATTAACTTCTTAGGATTCAGATTCAACCAAGATGATTTTGACATGTATTAACTTCTTAGGATTCAGATTCAACCGAGATGATTTTGACATGTATTAACTTCTTAGGATAAACAAGATTTGAAGTTAATAGTAGAAGGGGAAAAAAAAGGCTTGCATTAAAAATCTCTTACAACTTTAGCATCTCTGATGACATTAGATATTCCACAAGAACATAGCATTAAACAGTATTCTACAAGAAAAGTACTAGGTCAAGTCAGTTTAAATAATTTGAAATGCAGGTGCTGTAATTTAGCTAAAGATAGAAAATAAATGTGAAATATGAATCAAAGAAAATAAGCTTATTATACCAAGTTACTCAGCAGCAATCTCCATTGTGATATTTAGTATTAACATTTAACACGAAAGATATAAAGAATAATAAAAATATGGTGTTGCATAATTTCTACCTTGAATACAGGAGGCTCCACATCTTGAACAATAACTCTGTCGATGTCAGGGTTACCAATAAGGCCAAAAAACTGGGCTTTAAACACTGGTGAACGAGCAGCAAGTATCAACTTATGGGCTTTAAATGTCTCATCATCGACTTCAAAGACAATATCTGAAGCGATGCCTGATTTCAGCAATCGCTCAAGACAGCAACCCAGATCTGGTGGCGGCACGGTAATGATTAATTGCCTTGGTGTTTCAATGCGGCTTCTAACAACACCGACTGTGCAGTTCATAACCAAGCAATCATCCTTAAGAAAATCAGATGTTTCTAAGGATGTTCTCCTATAAAACCTTTTGTATCCCCTGAGAGAACACAATTAGCCAATGGAAGATGAATGAGAATCAGAATAAAGAAAATAGAAGACTGTTGTTTACAAAATGCAAACAGCATGTAGTCAAACCACAAAACTTGAGCAACAGCACCATAAATAAGAAATGAATCCAATATTAACTGATACTGGAATCAAACTTAGCGCAAAATTAATGAATGCAGGGCAAAAGTATTTAGTGTAATACTTTCCCACCCCCGTCCTGTATAGTTTAATCCTATTTATCCCTCCTCTATCTAACAAATCATAATAGTTTCCTTCCTCCACTTCCCTTTTGCTTTTGTGGAAACTTCTGCTCCTCCTTACAAGTATTGGTATCAGTGTATCACTCTAGAAGGAGATGGTGCAGTATCTTAATTAGATTGCTTACAAAATTTTGTCAACTTTTTCCTGGTTTAAATTTTAGTTAGTTTATGAATAACCTTTGACTGAAAGTAATAACTAGATATTTCAATGTATATTATCATGTTAATATATTCATTTTCTGCAAACCTTTATTCCTATTTCTTCCCTTTATATCTAACGAATCCTGGCAATTCCACTACCATTCCCCTTTTCTTCAGGGTTTTTTTCTCAATAAAATAAAAACCCCTCCTTTTAGAGGATTCCTCCTTTAGAAATCCTTATATAATCTCTCCAATGTCCTTTAATTACATTTGAATCAATGTAAGCTCCTTGTCATCCATCCCTTATTCTCATACTTACTACCTTCAATCCATCTTGTTGTGCGTACTACAATAGAAAGAGCTATTTTTACAACTCTACGTATTTTTCTCCATTTCAGTTGTTACTTTCTTCTCCTACAAAACCAATACTTTATTAATCTTTGGTTTTAGTTTTTGATCAAAATTTGAAGCTATAGATAGGAATGGACACTTATATGGAATAAGAATGCTTTTGCTTATACTTATAATGTTATATCTTATATCTATAATGCCATATCTTATATCAGTTCTTGGGAAGGGTTTGCGCCATCTAAACAATATATGATTGAATGTTTGAATGATATTACAGGCAACAGGGTATCTTCTTCCCTCAATAGATTTAACACATTGAAAATTTCATCATTTTATGAGTTCAATTGGCAGAATTTTTTTTTTTTTTCATGTTTATAAATTTTGCTTATAGGACATGCAGAATATTTAACTATTTATCCCTAGCAAACGATAGTATATACAACACCACTAGACACAATGCACGTGTTCATCCAAGTCGAGCACTTACAATGCTTATCCAAGTGAAAATGAAAATTTAGACTTAAGGCATATAAAGTATGTTATGTCATCTTTTTTGAAAAAAAATAAATGTTTCATAGATAGTTTTACCATTTAGTACCTTCCGCAACCTGAAGTTTTCAAGCTGTACGGTTAGGAAGTGTTGTAGTTAATGAAAAGAAAATGTACAACGAACCGCCTATACGCATACACATATATACATACATATACATATACATACATATATACATACATATATATATATATATATAAACATATACACACACCAAAACAAGGCCTTGAGATGCCACTTGGCAACTTCTTAGAATTTTAGCTATTTATCTTCCAATTTATTTACCAATATCAAAGCAAGCTCAAGTAAAGCTTCTAAATAAGGTCTTAACAGTTACACGGTGCAACTTTCTAAATTTTAGTATACGTTATTGGTGGGTCACAATTGCGCACTGCAATTTTCTAGAGTCAGGCTCTTAACCTTCCAATTAACCTTATATCCTCCTCTCCAATTTCAAATTTAATCCTTAAATTCCTTCCGTAAATGCCTTAATTTACTTTCACATTCTTAACTCTTTTAAGTAGAATAAAAAAACAGTGGAATCAATGTGTTTGTTAATCCTTCCATTCTTCAACCCTCTGTGAGATTTTGTATGTTTGGTTTATTTTTCTAAACTCCAAAGATTTTTATGTTTGTTTTTTTTTTCTTTGTGTTTGTTTTTGGTTTTTCTCTAGAAAGAAGCAAATAGATGAGAAGAATACCAACATACAGGAGGAAGAGAGGAGTCGGACAGATTACTACATGGTCTGAAGCTCGGTATATATTGCTAGGGATGACGACTCAAGATAAATAAAGTTTGGAGAGAGCTATGAAGGTACGATTTTTTGTTTAAAAATAAATGGGTTTTGAAATTGTTATATTTTTCTCCTCTGAGTAAAAGAAAACTTTTCCTTTTAAACTTTATCTTGGATATTTTGATAAGATTGGACGTGGTACCAAAGGCATCTCATTTTATGAAATTAAAAAATATATATTTAAGGACTGATTTATTTATTTATTTATTTTCAATTTGCAACTTGCCATGAGCACAGTGGTGTTAGAGATCCAGTTGCATTGTGATATACCCAGACGACTCATTAAAGGTTAGTTAACTAATAATTGCATAATTGGTGAGTACTAAGTCACACAATTAAGTCTAATAATTGATACAATTATAATGCATATGACTGGAAATTTTAGTTATGGTTATAATTAAAAAATTGAGTTAACTTTTAGCATATGAACAAGCATCTTATTTCTAAATCTTCCATTTGCTGTAGGATAGAGGTTTTTTGTAGAGTAGGATAGAGGTAATGATTGGTAACACTTGAAGGCCTTAAAGCTACAATGAGAATCAGAAAACTACCAAGGAAATTTGCTCTTGATCTTTTGCACCACACTAGAAATAACTTATTTACAGAGTTAATTGGAACGCAACAATTCTTATTGTCCATGGACCTCAAAGGAGCCAACTGTTCCAATGACTGCAAGTACATAAGCCATAAAAGCAAGGGGAACAAGAAATTATCATCTTTATGGATATTTGTCTAATCGTTAAGTTGATCAACCTTATATTTATGTAGGAAACATTATATTAGGGGATGCCTTCTTGAGTATTCTATATTATTCTAATATAAAAGAATATATCTTGAGAGACTATGTTTTAACATTAATATGAAGTGAAAACTTTATAACTGAAAATCTTGAGAGAAGAAAATTCTTGCAGCATGGTGTTTTGTGTGCGCGCGCGCGCACATGTGTGTGTGTATTTCCATCTCATCACCTCATTTTCTATAGTTAGCAGCCAACAAGTATCACCTGCTCCTTATGTCCTATGAGAAGTACTCTACAAAGTCTTATACAGATAAAAGGACACCTCCAAAAGAAAATACAGGGCCTGCCCAACTTATAAACATGATATGTCTAACAAAAGAACTAAAAGTCGAACTCAAGAAACAAGAAGCATCAAGTGCTTACTCGAAACTCATTAATTCATCTCTAACAGTTCAGAAAACTGTAAAACCCTAGAATTTCGGTTTGTATTTTGGCAGGGTCCGTTTAGTCCCACAGTTGACTGAAATGGGGACTCAATTGTGAGCTTATAAGAGATTTGGGTTCCTTCCCTCTTAACAACTAGCTTTTGTGGACGAGCTCTCCAAAATCTTTTACAAGTGGTATTAAAGGCAAGCCCCACCATCTCTTCTCAGTTGCAAGGCAGTGGCACGACTAGTGACGCCAACATTGCAATGTTTGCCCACAACTAGTCCAGTGCAAGGAGAAAGTCGTGACCCCAGGATTAAAGTTTTCAACCGGCACTGAACTAGTGTAGAGCCAATCCGCATGGGCGCCAGGGCTGCAGAAGCATGGTTGTACCTTTCGGTCCATTTAGTTAGTCGCACATTAACTAAACAGGGAGTCAATTATGGATTTCCGCAGAGAATAGGACTCCCTTCTTCTAATAGCTAGCTTTCAGGGGTGAGTTCTTCTCACCCAACAGCCCAAACTCATGTTAACCTCTTTAATTAGTTGCCAAAAACACAGAAAGGTACCAACTTTGAGCATCCAAGCGTCACAAAATCAAAATTTTAAGATAAATTAGCAAAGAACATACCACATACTGCCCCGATACTTGAGCGTATACGGCCCGCTAACCATCGCCCGATCGAAATGACTATGAACCTTATGCTTCCCTTTCCCACTCTGATCCATCAACGTCAGCTCGAACAAAGCCCTAACATCCGTCCCCTCGCTCGCCAACGCGACAAACACCGAAACATAAACCGAATTGTCCTCGGGATTCTTGCCATCAGGATAAAAGTAGACCGCCCATTGGAATCCCCCAACGTTGAAGATATCACTAGAGATGTACTTTCCAGGCCCCATTCCCTTGGCCAGCGAGTAGCCCTCGATCGTGAATTTGTGAGATCCGTTCACGGTCTCGAACACCGATCTGGATCGCGACGTCTCGCCCTGATCGACGACGGCGAGACCCTTCTCCATTGCATTCGAAACCCTAGAATTGCCCCAGTTTTTAGGGGTCGAGGGAGAATTAGGGTTTAGCCAGAGGATTGATACTTAAGAAAGGCGAAGTCTTTTTTTTGGGAATTTGGAACCTTTTTCTTTTTTTTCTTCTTTTGGTTTGTTTTTCTTCCCCCATTCATCTTCTCCCTTTTTAAATGGCTTAAAGGCCAATTTGGTCTCTCTTCTTTTTCCTCCCTCAACATAGGGGATGGTTTGGTTGCTCGTAACTATAGTTTGCAATGTAACTATGTAAGTGACACTTGCACGCAAGATATTACAACTCTTCTTACATGTTAGCATGATTGTAATTACTTGGTACAAATTTTAAGTTTTATAACTTGTAGTTGTAGCTCTTTGATTTTGCTTGTAACTTTACATAAGCAACTTATTTTTTTACCATTAATAAACAACTAAAGTTATTACTTCCTTTCACACTTTTAAAAATATTTACTTTTTTAAAAATTAATGCTTTTTATATTAAGTAAAATTGAGTTTTAAATTTTTTAAAAAAAAGTTTTGTAATATAATATTTTAAAATAATATTTTATTAAAAAAATAATTTTCAAATATAATTATTTTTCATAAAATAAAATAATCTTTCAAAATAATATTTTTTTGGTAAAAATATAGTTTCGTAAATGAATACCATCAAAAACTTTCTTTTTCATAATTGTTTGAAAAATATTATTGAAATTTCTTGAAAATAATATTTTGACAAAGTATAATAGTATTCAAGGAAAATTTTATTTTTTAGAAAAATAATACTTTTAAATTTATTTTTCAAAAATAATAATTTTTTAAAATTAGTTTTTTCAAGCATTTTTCCAAAAAAAATAATATGTCTTCAAAAAATAGTTTCTTAAAGAAATTGTTTTTAGAAAATAATATTTTTATAACAATAATATATTTTAAAAACCAATATATTTTAGAAAAATATATTATTTTAAAAATTATCATATTTTGACAAATAATATATTTTCAAAAAAATAATATACTTCTAAAAATATAATATTTTTGAAAAAATAATATAATATTTTGAAAATATAATATAATATTTTGAAAAAATAATATACTATGTTAAACAATGTTCACATGGTGACAATTGAACATTAGATAGTGCAGGAAGTAAGTTCATTCTGATAATTTGTTAAACAATGTTCACATGGTGACAATTGAACATTAGATAGTGCAGGAAGTAAGTTCATTCTGATAATTTCTTTTATTTTTGAAATACTAGCAATAGTGCAGGAAGTAAGTTCATTCTGATAATTTCTTTTATTTTTGAAATACTAGCATGTCCTAGTCTAGGATGTCATAATTCAGACTCAGAAATATAACATGACAAGTAGTTCAAATTCGAAATTTTATTATCAGAATTATTACAAACTACTGGAAGAATGAATAACTCATGCTCATGCACATATTTTCCCATAGCATACACTTTATTATTTTTGCCTATAAAAACCTGGTTATTGTAGAACCTAACTTCCGGTCATTTCTTCATCAAGCTGGGAACAGAGATCAGATTGCGCCGAATTCCTGGTGCATAGAATACATCTTTGAGGACAAGAACATTTGTCCCCAAGATCCAATATATACGAACTAATATCTTCTACATCAAAATAGATATTATTTCTCATATAGATTCTTTGTTCTCCTTTCTTTAGCTCGGTGAATTTTGTGACTCCATTATTGTCCTTTGTGATATGTCTGGTCGCACCGGAGTCGATCCACCAACCAATGATATCTGTCATCACAGTATTGCATTCTGTCACACTGACGAATTCTCTTTTGCTAATACCCCCTTGTTCTGGATGTTTATAGCGTCCCTTATTCTCCTGCTTTTCACCTTGCGGGCAATTGGGCTTGAAATGCCCAAACTTTCCACAATTGTAGCAGGCTCCATGTGGTACTTTCTTTCTCTTGAACTGCTACGATTTCGGTCCTCGCGGTTGTGGTTTACTAGGACCGGTGTTTTTATAGCTTCCAGTATTATGCCTCTGGCGAACATAATTCAGCTCTTGTTACACCATATTCTGTTCTGGTTCTTTCCTACTGACTATTAAGTCATGTTCTATTGCATAGGAATATAAGTGACTGATTTAACAGCAGAGTTCATTCTTAATGTGGTGGCAGCCATAGCAAGGGAAGGGGGTAGACTATTCAAAATGGTTATCACTTGTATTCTTTCCGGGATTTCGGTCCCAGCAGTGAATAAGTACTTAGCCATGACAATCATCCTACTTATATGCTCTACGATATTGTCTCCATCTTGCATACGACAATAATTATACTTATGCAAGAGGAGTTGAATGTTAACTTTTGAGGCGGTGTCGTATTTCTCTTTTATAGCATTCCACATGTCCATGGAAGTCTTATAAGTTTCAAAAACTTTAATTCAGTTATCTTCCATGAACATGAGCATTAGACTTTTTGCCTTTTTATCTTTCGACTTTCACTGTTCAAACCATTTTTTTCTTCTAGTGTAGATTTATCAGTAAGAGTAGGAGCAGTGGTTTCGATTACATCATCAATACTATCATGAATAAGAACATATTCTATTTTTTCTATGCCACATATCATAATTACTACCATTAAATTTATTAATTTTTTCTAGTTCTGATAGAACGAGTTTACTAGCCATTCAGTAGAGAATTAAAACTAAATCCAATTTTAAAAAATGTATAAGATTGGTATATTGACAATTTAGTATACGAGTATAAACTACTTCTCCATGTAATTCCGAAGAGTATATGAGTATAAACTACTTCTCCATGTAACTCCAAAGAGTATACGAGTATAAACTGCTTCTCCATGTAACTCCGAAGAGTATACGAGTATAAACTTCTTCTCCTTGTAACTCCGATGAGTATACGAGTATAAACTACTTCTCCATGTAACTCCAAAGAGTATACGAGTATAAACTACTTCTCCATGTAACTCCGAAGAGTATACGAGTATAAACTACTTCTCCATGTAACTCCGAAGAGTATACGAGTATAAACTGCTTCTCCATGTAACTCCGAAGAGTATACGAGTATAAACTGCTTCTCCATGTAACTCCGAAGAGTATACGAGTATAAACTGCTTTTTCCTTTCCTCCGACGGGTATACGAGGTTAAACTACTTCTCTTATTTCTAATAATGGGAAGTTCCTGGAGAATATTACTCTTAATATTCTTAAGGATAACCTAACAATGTGGTAGAATATAATTGGATTCAGATTCGCCAAAGAGCTGGGGGTGGAATACCGTAATTCATTCCAATGGGAAGTTCATGATCATGATTAAGAACCTCTCACTGTAGCTATTTAATCATTTCCAAATTGATTAAAACCCTCCCACTGTGATTTTCAGATCACTCTTTCATTGAGATGAGATTCAATGACTTCATAAAGTCAATCTTCCTTCACGAAACTCTGAAATCCTTCAAGGATGAAGCATGTCTCATTTTCTTTTCCTTCATCCGATTCTTGGTTGGTTTCAATCATTGGGATCAATTTCGCTAACTTCCACTATGACTTTCCAAGCACTCTTTCGTTGAGATGAGATTCAATTACCTCATCGGATCAGTTTTTCCACATGAAACTCCTACTGTCTAATTGTGGAGTGTTTGATGATTCATTGTTCTCCACCATAAAATCCCTCACCGATCAAATTAACTGATGGTGGGTCCACCAAAATGCTTCGTGATTAAATTCACCCAAACTCTCGCTGTGTCCGAGCCTTTAACACTCCCACTGTTGAGCTCTGACACAACATCCAAAATTTTAATCCATGACAATTGGCAAACCCCTTTTCGTTTTAAAGTCTTGTCACTGGTTACCAAAAACCTCTTACGAGTGATTTGTACAAATCTATATTCCTACTGTTATTTGTACCTCCACCCCCCCTATTTGGTCAAACCTTTAAACAGTCAGGGCCAAAACCAAAATCCCCTTTTGATTCTTTCCATAAACGAGAGGTTCATAAATTGAACGATCAAACCTTTTAACAGTTAGGGTCATCTCAAACTCCTATTTGGTCAAACCTTTAAACAGTTATGACTAAAGCCAAAATCCCCTCTCGATTCCTCCTATGAACGAGAGGTCCACAAATTGAACGATCAAACCTTTTAACAGTTAGGGTCATCTCAAACTCCTATTTGGTCAAATCTTTAAACAGTTAGGACCAAAGCTAAAATCCCCTCTCAATTCCTTCCATGAACGAGAGGTCAGAAATTAAACGATCAAACCTTTAAACCGTTAGGATCGTCTCAAATTCTCATTTGGTCAAACCTTTAAACAGTTAGAACCAAACCCAAAATCCCCTCTCGATTCCTTCCATGAACGAGAGGTCTACACATTCCCCACTCAGTCAAACCTTTAAACAGTTAGGACGAAAGTTGGATTTCCATCTCAATAAATGAGAAATCCATTTTTAGATTGGATATTTAAACATTTTAACAGTTAGGGTTATCTAAATCTTCTCGGTTCTCGGAGTGGGGATCCCACTCTTAGTTTTACCCTTCAGATTCTTAAAGTGGAGATCCCATTTTGAGTTTTTTTGCACCAGGAGATAGAATATAAAATTCTTCCTCTTCATCTTCGGATTCATCTCTACTAACAAAAAAGAGATAAGGAGATAGAATATAAAATTCTTCCTCTCCAGTGTCGGGTTCATCTTTTCACCAAAAAGACGTAATCCATCAATATTTTCAAATCCATATTTTATACGTGGGGGACATTATCTCAATCCCTTATTAGAGATAAGTCTACGTCTAACACACGTCTCCGAGTGGTACGTTCTCGTATAAATGACAAAGCCTATGTATTTAACATCATAGCACCAAGTCTAAGAGGGTTTATTCTCTTAGCACAATGTTACATGTAGAACGGACTTAAACAATCTGCATGCTAGCCCGATTCAAACAATAGTCGGTAAAGGTTTATCAAATCCGTTGATGGCTGAGGGTTTGCCAAAAATCCTATAAATGCGATAGTCACTGACGCACCAGCTTCATTAGTTGGCCTCGTGACTTGAGTATCCGACAAACTCAGGATAAAATTCGTACTTGTAGGGGAATCAACTTGAAAAATTGGTCCTGCAGCCTCGACACTCGGGACTGCCATGCTCCAATTCCTTAAGAGCTTAAACTTTGTAGACTCC